TGACCCCAAATGTTTGTTTACCTGAGCAGAGCTGCAGAAACTCCAGCTGGAAACAAGCTTCTGCGGAACCAGGATCTGAGTCCGGCCGGTGACCGTAGCGAGGAGGCCATGACACGGCTGACATTCACCAGAAGAGTCGCCCTAATGACTAAACACCCACACGACCTGCCAGGGTCTATGTCTATGCTAAAACCGCGGCGTGTTTACAGACTAAAACATGTGTTTGCGTCCTTCCGCGGACATAAACGTAGCACGACGCTGCGTTAAATGTCAGTCAGACGTGTCGGATAACTCTAAATTTTAGATTTATCTTCACTCTTCCACTGGTCCACCTTATTGTATACTTTCATTTAATAAAATGTACTTGTCAACAGTCGTTTAGTGGATTCAGCTGAAGAAAAATACCGCCCAAATGTGTTACTGAACAAACTTGACGAGCACGTATTTATTTTATGGATAATAACAAAACATATTATTTATATCGTAGGTTTTTTATGTGAGGTGCCACAGAGGTCTCGGTTAAAAAGCTTTACCAAAGTTCCCGAAAAATTCGATGGTTGTTTTGTTTTAATTGTTTTATTTTATCCATTCCAGTAACAGTGCTGACGTTACAACTTCCGAGGTGCCTTGAAGGCAACTTAAGTTAAACTCCGTGAACATGCGCGTTAGCCATTTTTTTGTTTTGTTCTTTTATTTATTTCCTGCTTATTGCCACTATTAACACATATTGATTGAATAATTATTAGCTTCGCTACTTCGCTAAAAAAAAAACATAGCTAACTGAAGCTAACGGTTATTTTAAAAAATCTATTGGTATTGGCACATCCTTCTTTTCCCATAATGCTTTGCGTCTTGCAGCTGCGCAGATCCACCACAACAAGACAGCCATCCTGACGTTAGCGTAAAATTTAGAAAACAATTCTCCCAGATATCCACTTTAGATTCTGCCGCCGCCATGAAAGATGTTAGCGGGTTCCTCAAACAGCAGCAGAGCAGCAGCTCCACGCCGGAGATGGCGGCGGAGTGGCACGGCCTGGAGGACTTATACAGCAAAAGGTGGAAAACGAGACGGGAGTCCTGGCGTGCTAACGCTAGCGGGCTAACGCTAGCAGCTAGCTAGCTAGCTAGCCCATTCATTGGAAATGCACGCTGAGTCATGCGCGGAGCTAACGTTAGCATGTCGAGCTAATGCTAGTAGCAACCCTGAGTAGATCACAAACATAAAAACATAAAGATTAAGTATGGGAACAAAATGTTTTTTATGAGGTTAAAGAAAACAGCTGACAGGGTTATTAGTACGTATTGTGATATTTAGATGTCTGGGTGGAAAAAGCTTTCATGCTAACAGATGCTAATGCACCGGGATGATGCTCAAATTGATCCAGAAACCAAGTTTTGGGTTTTTTTTATTACATATTTTGCCCTTGCGTGCTTCCTACCTGTCAAGTTAGATGTGTTACAGTGTTGGTGGGTGAAAAAGACAACACAATATTTCTGTATTCACAGAAATGAACTCATAGTTTAGTTAATTTACTATAATATTTCTCAAGAGTACAGAAAACTGCTCATTTATTGATTCAGCAATCAAGTGGTGAAGGTCTGGCTGAATAAAAGACTAATTCAGAGAGATAACTTCGGATAAACAGAGTTTGTTCCTCGTGAATATGATACTCTAAAAAGTCCGAATTGTCCCAGAAGTTTGGAAATATAAATATAATAAGGGAAATGTTGCATGTTATTGTCCTCCTGAGACTTACATACTTCTTTGTTTTCTGTTTTTTTTTTACATATTTGAAAATGAATTAGCTGGTACAGCGATCTTTCAGGTTCTGTGTTTGAGGTAAACTCATTGCTGGTCAACTTTTTGTGTTGCCTCTGACAGATTGTGGCATCAGTTGACGCTGAAGCTGACCGACTTTGTCAAAGAGCCCTGCTTTAAAACGGGAGATGGCCTCATACAGGTAATGGTTCAGAGGACCCGGTCCGTTTCAAAGCTGCTTAAAGCCTTTTGCTTTGGGACTGTTTCCTTTATGTGTGGTTTTAACGAACCAGTTTGGTCCAAAATATGTTGTATATTTATCATCTTTAACACAAACCAGTCACACTATTATTATTAATAATTAATTATTAATACGTCTGATCTTTGTTTGTGTTGATGCTTGAAGAATCTGATATGTTTAGAGTGTGTTTGATTATAGATTTAATAGTTTTATTTGCCATATATTTGACTATACAAAGTGAAAAGTAGAGGCATTTACATAAATGTCAGGGGAAAAAATGGAAGTTGTTCATTCGCAAGATGTACTTTACATGAAATTAATAAATAATTACAAGAACTTAGACACATTTGGTGTCCACAGAAATGCCAGAAAATGGGCCCAAAGGTGGAATCAGTAGATGGATTTTGACATTTCTCCTCCTCCTTTGTCATCTTGTGGCTTTTTAGTGGAGAGCCGGACCTTCCTGTGGACGCTTAATATGTTTTAGCTAACCTGTTTTAACCTCTCTGTTTTCTCCTCGCAGCTTTACGAGAACTTCATCAGTGACTTTGAACACAGGTGAGCGAGCGGTGATCAGAACGGTGGGTGTACAGCTCCATTCCTCCTTCCTGCCTCCACTTTGTGTCTCTTCTTTATCCCCCGAGCAGAATCAACCCTCTCTCGCTGGTTGAGATCATCCTCTACGTCGCCAGGCAGATGTCAGGTGAGGACCGGAGGGAGGCCTTTCTTCCCCCCACCCCCTTTTTTCTCTCCTGTCTGAGTGTTGACTGAGGTGTTTCTTCTCTTTAGACCCGAAAGACGCCATCACGTTCCTGGAGAAGACCAAAGAAAAGGTTGGTTAGCCGGCGTCCTGAGTGTAAAGCTGCTAATCTGACCCGGCTGTGTCTCAGGTGAAGAGCAGTGAGGAGGCCGTCATCCTCTGTAAGACCTCCATCGGCAGCCTGAAGCTGGAGATCAACGATCTTCCCGCCACAAAGGTGAGGAAGCCACACACTCGGCACCATCAAACCCAAAATAACTCCATTAATTCAGCGCTAAAGCTGCTTCACGCTAGCTGTGGTGTCGGGATTATTTTTACTTCTGTTTGCGGCACTTTTTTAAGGAGACAAGGAGCTGAACGGGGAGCCAAAAGCTTTAAAACCTCACCGGGAGAAGCAGCTTAGAAGCCTAAATCTAATAAAAAACTCAAATTTTCCTTTGGCTAATAATGTCTGCTGTACAATTACTTGTTATTAGTTATTATCCATAAAAGATAGAAGCTCAAAAACATTAACATGTGTTTATTTGGCCCTTTTATCCCCATAAATTCATGATTTATATCGGCGAAAAGAGATGTTTGTTCTATTTTTTGACGGACAGAAAGAAGCTGTGAGGACTAATGTGCTGCTGTATTTTGGTGAATAAACAAGCCCACCATTTGGATGGTGATTTTACCCAGACGTTACACTAAAAAACACCCAAGATAAAAGTCATTTCCAGCTCAAAACCCATTTTGACTAAACATCCAGGTACCTCCGGATGCCAGCTTATGTCTGCTGTTTGTGAGCATTTCAGTTTAGTTTGCATAGCTTGTTTCCCTTTTGGTTAATTACTTTGAAGCTTTATTTTTTTAATCAAATATTAAAAAAAGAGAGACAGCTTCTTTTACAGGAGCCAAATTCACTTAAACATCCAAAATTTCCAGTTTGAGAATAACAAAGTGTAGAAATTGATCCAATAACTTGGGTTTTGTTAGAAATTTGTCCTTATTTTTGATCATTTGACAACATCCGTCTCATGTTTGATGCATTTCTGGGACTTCCTGTAAGACCCCATGGTTAAAACTTAGCTTTTAGAAGGATTTGTTAAATTTGAGAATTAATTATTTTTTTAGTTTAGGTCAAAATCAATGAGAAAATATTTGACAAATCTGACACATAACAAACTAATCATCTTAATTAATTCACCTAAAAGAATCAAACAAATACTTCAGGTCTCATAAAAATGAGACTCTGCCCGACTCAGAAATTAGTTAAAGACTCATCAAACTGATGACTGCCCCCCCCCCCCCCAGAAAATCATCGAGGAGGTGGAGGAGATCCTGAACAACCTCCCGGGCGTGACCTCGGTCCACGGCCGCTTCTACGACCTCTCCAGCAAATACTACCGCATCATCGGGAACCACGCCTCCTACTACAAGGACGCGCTGCGCTACCTGGGCTGCGTGGACATCAAAGACCTGCCAGGTGAGGCTGGGGGGGGGCGGGGGTTAGGGGGCTAAAATAGAGAAATCATGGCCTTCAAAAATTCCCCATCTAATCTGACAAAGCATATCAAGGTAAGTTAAAAATACAACGACCAATAAGCTAGTAAGTAAGCGCTAGTTCAGTTCTCCCTGTACACTCATGATAAAGCAGCTAACGCTAGCTAAAGCTAACCTAGCTGGCTAGCTGTATGATAACGTTAGCTAGAGCTAACCTAGCTGGCTAGCTGTATGATAACGTTAGCTAAAGCTAACCTAGCTGGCTAGCTGTATGCTACATGCTAGCATAAAGGCTCAGCTCAGGATTCTGACTCTGCAATAATAAATAATAGCAGATGAAGTGCTGTTGATGCTAATGCAGATGTAGTTTTCTGTTTTTGTAAACACCTTTATGGCCTTTCACACTTTTGAAATAATATAAACAATATCTATCACACTTTTGACTGCCTTTTTTTAATATACACAGTACTTGTACTTTTACTTATACTTGTACTTTTGACACTTGAATAGCAATTTTTTAAATACTTCCACATGCAATACTTAAGCACAAAAAATTGAGTACTTCCACTTAAGTATGGAGTTGAAAGAACACTTCTACTTTTACTCAAGTCAGTTTTTTTATATAGTACTTGTACTTCTGCTCCAGTACTTATACATCTCTGGTTCTGACCCACAGAGACGGAGAAGCAGGAGCGGGCCTTCACGCTGGGGCTGGCCGGGCTGCTGGGGGAGGGCGTCTACAACTTTGGAGAGCTGGTAGGAGGCGGCCTGAGCTGTTTGTGTGGGGGGCGGGGACAGGTGGGGGACAGGTGGGGGTGCTCACCTGGTCTCCCCGGTTCCTGCAGCTCATGCATCCGGTTCTGGAGTCCCTGAGGAACACCGACAAGCAGTGGCTCATCGACACGCTCTACGCCTTCAACGGGGGAAACGTGGAGAAGTTCCAGGGCTTCAAGTCGGCCTGGGGCCAGCAGGTGAGGCCTGTTTAAGGCTTTTGCTTTAGTTCATGCTGACATCGTCTGGCCGCCATTGGCTGATCAGGTCACATGACCATGAGCCTGTTCAGGTCTGACTGTGTTGTGTCCCCCCCCCCCAGCCCGACCTCGCCACCCACGAAGCCAAGCTGATGCAGAAGATCCAGCTGCTGTGCGTGATGGAGGTGAGGCCCACTGGTCCAGAAGTACCAAACCAAAATACCAGAACCAGGCTCCAAACACCCCATAATACCCCTCTCTTCCAGATGACATTCACCCGGCCGGCCAATCACAGACAGCTCACCTTCACCGAGATCTCTCAGAGCGCCAAGATCCCCGTTAACGAGGTGGGGCTGGGTCTGGGTCTAAGTCTGGGTCTAGGTCCAAGTCTGGGTCTAGGTCTGGGTCTAGGTCTAAGTCTGGGGCTAAGTCTAGGCCTGGGTTTAAGTCTGTGTCTGGGGCTGGGTCTAGGTCTAAGTATGAGTCTAAGTCTGGGTCTAAATCTGGGTCTAAGTCTGGGTCTAGGTCCTGGTCTGGGTCTAGATCTAAGTCTAGGTCTCCTCCTCCAGGTGGAGCTGCTGGTGATGAAGGCCCTGTCCGTGGGCCTCATCAAGGGGAACATCGACGAGGTGGACCAGAAGGTGCAGATGACCTGGGTCCAGCCCCGGGTCCTGGACCTGCAGCAGGTGGGGGCCTCCCTGACCGCGTCCACGGCAGGAAACTAGTCCCGTTTAGAGGGACACTTTAGTAGCTAAAACCATGTCCTCCATTCCTTAATGTTCCTCATTGGGTGTAAAATGACCTCTGACATGATCTGACTTCTCCTCATGAGGAAGAATTTCCCATCTATTTATACACAGGACAGGTAAACACAGAGGTTTCCATGGCGATCTGCCATTTCGAAAAACTATAATGGCAGAGAGGGACATAAAGCACTAGTTCTAGCTCTAACAAGCACCTTTATCCAGAAATTTCCAGATAAAGAACATATCACTACTGATAAGCATAGTTCCTGCTAATATTAGCTTCTGATTAGCACAGTTCCTGTTAATACATCACTGATTAGCACAGTTCCTGCTAATATTAGCACAGTTCCTGCTTATATTAGCTTCTGATTAGCACAGTTCCTGCTAATATATCACTACTGATTAGCTCAGTTCCTGTTAAAATATCACTACTGATTAGCACAGTTCCTGCTAATATTAGCTTCTGATTAGCACAGTTCTTGTTAATATATCACTACTGATTAGCACAGTTCATGCTAATATATCAGTACTGATTAGCACAGTTCATGCTAATATATCATTACTGATTAGCACAGTTCATATTTTCAGTCTAATATTCAGAATGGAACATTTGTTGTGTGTCCAGTTGTTAGCTAACGCTAGCTACAACATAGGCAAGCAATGCTTAGCTACAAACAGAAAAACAAGCTAACATGGCAATGTAATTCTCCGTCTCGTTGGAGGAGGTATTACATGCTCACACTAATGATTCAGAGCAGTTTGTAGTTTCTTTTAAATCCCAAACCTCGTCACCAGAGAAAACTCATTACTTCCTGATGCCTGACGGCTAGTGTAGCTGCAGTACCCATTTGGAAACGGGGGCGCTAGAGAGCACATTAGTTAGCATGCAGAACACAACTTCACCTTTAGATGGAGGGATTCTACACCGGGGGCCTTTTAGCTTCTAGAAAACCTAGAAAAAACTATAAAACATCACTTTAGTTGGAGGTGTGAGAAAGGAAAGGCGAGGTCAGATAAATAAAATGGTGGTAAGTCACTGTTTTTAACAAAAATGTCCTCCTGGTTCTGCTCCTCCTTCCAGATCAAAGGCATGAAGGAGCGCCTGGACTTCTGGTGCGGGGACGTTAAAAACATGGCCATGTTGGTGGAGCAGCAGGCCCACGACATCCTCACCTGAAAACCTGTTCTACCTTCTGGATCCCCCCCCCCACGTTTATTACCGTTTACCAACCGAACGTCCCTCTGTAAAGAAAATAAAATGAGTTCTGTACAAAAATCCACTCGTGTTTGGAGTCCAATTAACACAATTTACTTATGAAACAAAAAACAAATAAGAACATTAAGATCCCAAACACCAAATGAAAAGATAAACAAGACAAAAATTAGCAGTTAGTCTCACCTGAGAAAACAGATTCTCATCTAAAAGCCTGTTTATAGTTTTTACCGGCCTTTTTAAAAGGGCTCAGCCACCTAAATAAAGAAGCAGAATAGGACAAAAACTAGGGTTGATAGTTTTTAGGACCCAAAATGAACTAATTTATTACTTCTACTTTGTCTTGGATGAGTAAACTGGTGCATTCTTTAAAAATGGAGCCCCTCTATGTAATGACATAGAGATCCACCTCTAACACTTTTATACCAAAAGTTATTGTTTTTTTATGCATACACGAATAATAGGAAAAATAGTTAAATGAATGCGATTAATAATTAGTTAACCCTATAATGCCAAATGTATATTTGATACGGTTTCTGAAATGTTTTGCGTCTGACACCTTTTGCATAATTTAATGGTAAAAACTTTGCTCAAAATCCTATTGAACACAATCAGATACACCTGATAACAGGGGGCAGAAGATACACAAAAATAATCTGGACTTATCACATAGTAATAAATTATTAATATAAAAAAATCATTTTTGTTTTTTCTTTTTACATATTTTGTTAAAAGGCCAAATAAAGACTTAACCCCCCCCCCAAAATTATTTCCTGTTTTATTTTATTCTTGGATCAGGCTTTAAAGCCCCGTCCACCTCCACCTTTCCCGGGTCGTAACGGTCCCCTCCGCCCGGTCCTCCCTCACCGTTGCGGGGCAACGGCTTGAGCTAACCGGCCTCTCCGGTCCGGTCCTGCCCGCTCCACCCTTCACCGGACCGCCGCTCTGTGAGGCAAACTCTCTCCCTTTTCAGCAGGAAATATTTTAACCTAAATGTAAATATTTTTATTAATTTCCTTTTTCATTTTATCCCCCAATTTCACCTCGACACAAAACACTTCCGGTTAGCAACGCGGCTGTTACCGTTAACGTCGACGGAAGAACGAAAACAACAACCGAAAAACTGATTTAATCATAAATTTACTTAACATTTCTTATTAGAAAACAGCTAATTCTTATATATAAAACTCAGTTAATGCTTAAGGATGGTTAACCAATGAAAGTATGGAGGGTTGAAACTGCCATAATCAGAAATATATACACAAACATGACCATTTAAGTTTACATATAACATGACCATTTAAACATATTTTTAAAAATGACCATTTAAATATATACAAAAACATGACCATTTAAACATATGTACAATAACATGACTATTTATGACCATTTAAATAATAATACAATAACAGGACCATGTAAAAATCTTTTTAAAAATCACGTGACTATTTAAACATATAAACAACTTAACCACGAAAATATATACAAGAATATAACCATTTGAATATAAACTAAAGCATGTAATTTTAAATAAAAACAAAACCATGTTGAAAACCATCCATATCTATGTCACTTATTCCCAACGGGGTCATGACTAAATAAATATGTTAAAATGGGTAGAATGTCCAAATAATGCCTTGATTTCATACCACATTTTTTAACCTTGTTTTAATCTGGCTTTGTCTTTTTCATTCTATAATTTTTTACAATAAGTTTTTTTAACTTAGAGGCACTATATTTAATCATCAAAATCATGAATCATATCAATGAAAAGAGACTTTTCTTTATTCCCTCAAGATATTTTCCAGCTCATTTGACTCTTTTGGCCTTAAGTGGCTCCACTGAAAGTGATTTCTTCTCTTTGTTGACGGACAGAAAGAAGCTGTGAGGACTAATGTGCTGCTGTATTTGGGTGAATAAAAAAGCCCACCGTTTGGATGGTGATTTTACCCAGACGTTACACTAAAAAACACCCAAAATAAAAGTAACTTCCAGCTCAAAACCCATTTTGTATAAATTTGAGCATTTCAGTTTAGTTTGAATAGTTTGTTTCCTTTTTGGTTAATGACTTTGATTACAGCTTTATTTTTTTAATCAAATATTTTAAAAAAGAGACGGCTTCTTTTACAGGACCTTTGCCAAATTCACTTAAATATCCAAAATATCCAGTTTGAGAAAAACAAAGTGTAGAAACTGATCCAATAATTAGGGTTTTGTTAGAACTTTGTCCTTATTTTTATCATTTCACAGCATCTGTCTCATGTTTGATACATTTCTTGGACTTACTGTAAGACCCCATGGTTAAAACTTTGCTTTTATAAGGATTTTCTTAATTGGAAAATTCATTTAAAAATCAATGAGAAAACATTTGACAAACCTGACATAAAAAACTAATCATCTTAAGTCAAACAAATACTTCAGGTCTCAGAAACGAGACAAATGAGTTAAAGACCATCACACATGTGGAGCTTAATCGATTCCCGATAGCATCGGGTTCCAGTTATTGATCAGAGAAACGAGAGGACCGGCGAGTTTGCCCGTTAAATAATAATAATAGTAATAATAATAATGATAATAAAATTAATAATAAGGACCCCAAAAGGCCGTCCGGGAAAGCTCAGAGACAAGACGACAGTCAAAAGAACACCACAAAAAAAAGGCTAGCAACAATTATCCGGGATGGACGGGATCAATGAGCACACAGAGCTCCGGTTATCAGGAAAACAGACTGCTGAGTGACCAGATTTAGTTGGAGGAGGAGGAGGAGGAGGAGGAGGAGGAGGAGGAAGAGTGAAATGAGGCTGGGTAATTAGGAGAAGCAGCCTGTATCCCCAAAGGGAACGAGCAGCCAGCTCTGAGCATGCAGCTATTTGCACCATCCCTCTGTCTCTATCTCTTTAAGAGCCACCAGGAGGAGTGTGTGTGTGTGTGTGTGTGTGTGTGTGTGTGTGAGTGTGTGTGTGTGTGGGGGAGGGGTATCGGTGGAACAGCCCTGTGGTGAGCAGGTTTTACGGAGGGGAGACGGAGAGGCCGAAAACGCCGCGCAGGGCTGATGACTTGCTGGGATTCAGATCCAGCCGGAGACAAAGAGGCCGCCGAGGGGGGGGGGCAAGACTCCAGCATCCCGCATCCCGCATCCAGCTCCAGCCCAGCCTCAGCCTCCGTCGCCGTAGCGACGGGGAGACGGAGCCATTTCCAGGCAGCTCCGCTACGCGCCCGGAGCTGCAGGCAGGCGAGACCCAGGACCTTAATGGCCTCCCCCCAGAGGAATCCGGATCCACACTCCCCAATCCCGACTCCTGTATCCTGACTCCTGTATCCCGACTCCCGACGCTCGTCTCCTACCTCCTGACTCCTACCTCAGACTCCTGCTTCCTGTCTTCCATCTCCTGCCTCCTACTTCCTGACTCCGGCTTTCTGCCTCCTGCTTCCCATTTCCCGACTACCGTCGCCTGACTCCTGTCTCCTACCTCCTAACTCCTGTCTCTCGACTCCTACCTCCTTTTTCCTGCCTCCTGCTTCCTGCTTCCCACCTCCTACATCCCACCTCCTGCCTCCTTTCTCCTACTTCCTGACTCCCGTTTCCTAACTCCTGCATCCCACCTCCTGCCTCCCACCTCCTACCTCCTGCCTCTTTTCTCCTTTCTCCTGACTCCTACTTCCTGCTTCTCGTCTCCTGACTCCTACCTCATTTCTCCTGCCTCCTGCTTCCCATCTCCTACCTCCTAACTCCCGTCTCCCACCTCCTACCTCCTTCCTCCTGTCTCCTGCTTCCCACCTCCCACCTTCTACCTCCCACCTACTTTCTCCTTTCTCCTACCTCCTACCTCCTCCCCCCTCCTCCCACCTCAGTGGTCCGGTAGCGGGTGATGCTGTAGGGTCTGGCTGATTGGTGGGACCTCTGGGACCAGCGAAGGCCTCTCCTGTCTGGAGCCTCCTGCTGGGGGCCGGAGGGTGGAGGAGGAAGTGGAGGGGCGGAGCCTCAGAGGGGCGGAGCCTCAGACCCCTGGGAGAGGGCCCAGGCTCCGTCGGGGGTCCTGAAACCCGGACCGGAGCACCTCCACCCCCTCCGGCTGAGCCCTGGATTCTCCTCTTCCGGACCTTCTCCGGACTGAACAGCCTCCTCCTGGGTTTTCCCGGCGGTTTGCCCCAGTTGGGTCTTCTTCCAGGAACCAGTTCCACATTTATCCAAACGTTCACAGTTTTTTTTTTTTTTTTCTGTTTGGGAACTACTCACAGACATTTTCCACCTTTATCTGGACTGTCTCAGGCCAGTGTGAAAGAATAATCTCTACTTTGCCAACAGCTGGAGCCTCGTCCACTATCAGGAAATGACCAGAACCTGAGAAGATACTTCCGAATTTGATTTGATTAAAAATCCACACCTGGGTTTCTCCTCCTCCTGACGTTCTCCGGACTGAAAAGGCCTCCTCCTGGGTTTTCTCGGCTATTTGCCCCAGTTGGGTCTTTTTCCAGGAATTGGCTCCATATTTACTCAAACGTTCCCAGTTTTTTTTTCATCTGATAATACTACGCTCTGTTTGGGAACTACTCACGTTCTCCAGATTGAACAGGCCTCCTCCTGGGTTTTCTCGGCTTTGTGCCCCAGTTGGGTCTTTATCCATTTTTGTTTTTGCTCTTTTTGGGAACTACTCAGACTTTTCTCGTCTCGTGAAAATCCGTGAAATGACCAGAACTTGAGAAGCTGCTTCCGAATTTAATTGAATCAAACCTCGACGCCTGGGGTTCAAACCACTTCTCTTTTTCCAGGAATTGGTTCCATATTTATTCAAACCTTCTTCTTTTTTTTCTGATAATACTACGCTCTTTTTGGGAACTACTTACAGACATTTTCGACTCGTGAAACTCCATGAAATGACCAGAACTTGAGAAGCTACAAAATTTAATTTGAGTACTATTTGCCCCTGTTGGGTCTTTTTCCATTTTTGTTTTTGCTCTGTTTGGGAACTACTCACGTTCTCCAGATTGAACAGGTCTGGGTTTTCTGGGCTTTGTGCCCCAGTTGGGTCTTTTTCCAATTTTTTTTTGGCACTCTTTAGGAACGACTACATTTTCGACTCGTGGAAACCCGTGAAATGTCCAGAACTTGAGAGGCCACGTCCGGATCTGACCTGCCCACACCTCCTCCTCTCCTGGGGCCCGGGCCGGGGGCCATGCCCGGTCCCTCCTCCTCCTGACGTTCTCCGGATTGGCCCGGCCCGGTTTCATGCATGTCCAGTGGGGGCAGGTTTGACTTTGATGACGGGGGGTCGTACTGCGGGGAGTGGGAGCAGGGCAAGGCCCACGGGCGGGGGGTGTGCACGGGCCCCCAGGGCCAGGGCGAGTACGCGGGCGCCTGGAGCCACGGCTTCGAGGTGCTGGGCGCGTACACCTGGCCCAGCGGGAACAGCTACCGCGGCACCTGGGCGCAGGGCAAGCGCCACGGCGTGGGCGTGGAGAGCAAAGGATGCTGGGAGTACCGCGGCGAGTGGACCCAGGGCTACCGGGGCCGCTACGGGCAGCTGGAGAGCAGGGCCAGCGGGGCCCGCTACGAGGGCACCTGGAGCAACGGGAGGCAGGACGGCTACGGGACCGAGACCTACTCCGACGGGGGTGAGGAC